AGCATGCTCTTCAGCCTAAAAGCCGCCTATAGTAGCTTACAAAAATTAGTAATGAAACAGCCCTGCTCTCAAACTTACAAGTGAAAAATACGATACAAAAGGGATTAGGAGAGAGATTGGAAGAAAGCAAATGTGTTAGTTCTTAATTACAGAGTTTTTATAACTAAACAGTTCATGAAAGGAGGAGCCAAAAAATTGTGATGAAACCATTAGTGGGGAAAGGGGGTTGTGCTTAAATTGTTTCATCTGAAGTGGTGTGGTCTGCTAGGGGTTGATAGCCCTTTTACGTCAAGCTTTGTGGTGCATGTTTTTCTCATATATATATAAATATATATTTTACACAAGTCTAATCTTTTAAGCCTTCCAGACTGAGGAAGACCAGGAAACTGAGGGGTCATGTTAGCCATGGCCACGGCCGTATCGGTAAGTGTAGAGGATTATTTACTTGGTTGGTTTGTGCTCATTCATGGTTTGGGATATATTCTGCTTTATTACTAGACTAAGTCATGTAGAGAATAATATTAGTAGTACTTGTAAGCTTCATTTTTAATACTTAGTTATTTTAAGGCTTGACTATTTATTTCACAAACTTGATTGAAATAAAACCAGAGTGCAGGGGGAAAATGATGATGGTTACAGTGAGGTTGGGAAATGCATGTTAATTGAAGTTGAATTCAGGGTTTTAATCTGTTCTTCATTTCTATCATAGGCAAACACAGGAAGCATCCTGGAGGCCGGGGTAATGCTGGGGGTTTGCACCACCACAGAATTAATTTTGACAAATAGTAAGCAATTTTAAACTTTTTTTGTCCCTTGTAAAGCATTTAATTATATAATGCAAAGAACAAATCCATAATAGGTACCAAAATAACCTTTACCACCCTGTAGATGTTAGTTTTGTTAAATATAGGCTGAAGTGGAATAATAACCTACTCTTGCTTTGGGCCATGATGCAGTCCATTACACTGTTTCTGGTGGACTTTTGCAGAGGATTTCAGCTTTAATTTTGAATTGGGTTTGCTTATCTACTTATACCTATACCAGTAGTGGCCTGTTTGGTGGGGTGAAGTTGCTACCCTGCTGCAGTTCACCTGGATAGGGTGACAATGAGGTTGGGACTGTGTGGGTGTATGAGCAGGAGCACCAGAATGTGTCCACAGCCCAGACTGCAACCATGCCAATGTCGGAAGGGCAGCTCAAACCCATCACATGGGCTGCTACTGATCTACAGCAATCGAGACTAGAGTCACATCTAGATATTGTCAGTTATCATGGTGTGCTATAGTACTCGAAGAGCAATAACTGACCTTTATTCACTGACTGCCCTATTCATAGTTCAGTCAGCCACCAGGTTAGTAACAAAACTCTTATCCCAAACTGGGAGATGTGGGGCCACCAGGAGGATCTGTATCATCATTCTGCATGTCTTTGTAATGCTGAGTCAAAGCTCTGGTTTTCCAAAAGGGTTTGGTGACTTGCTGGGGTTGCTGCAAGGAAACGAATAGAACTGTTTGTCTTTGACTGCTTTCATATAAAAAGCAAGAGCTTGGAGGACCTCCCACTGTAGCCACAGTTAAGACAAGTATTTATTGTTGGATCAACTACAGCTTTCCCTTTCTTTTAGAATAACTTATTTTTTTGAAGTTGCTGTAGCCTGTCTTCTGTCACAGAATATTTGGGCATAAAAGATACCTGTAGTGCAGAACCCCCTCCTTGGCAAATTATAAATTTAGGGTGGTTTGTGTACAGCAGTGTTTGTAATGTCGTGTTTTATGGTACTTTGGGCACCAGGACAGTGAAATACTGGGACAACTGTGTAAGGACACAGAAATATACAGGTTTTTCCCCCATCTGATTAGTTTGATTTTTGCTCTAGTTGATTACCTGGGAACTAAATAAGTTATTACTTCGGACAATAAATACTCCTTATAACTGTATTTTCTTGTTCTTCACCTCTGTGGACCACATTAACTTAGCGTGAAAGTGGCTAGGAGACAATGTCATTGAGGTGTGTGTGAGGGAAATAAGCTGGGTACTAGTAGACTAGATATACCTTGCAATGGTTTTAAGCATAAAACAACCTGATGAACCTGGCTACAGAAATTTAAATGAAGAGAATTTCTCATTCAGTAGACTATGCAATTAATGTTATATATTTTGTATGTCCTCTAGCTAGGTAATGATTCACATGCATTTCAAAATGAGTTGCACATTGACTGTATTCTGTCTGTGATTTCTTGCCAGTCATCCTGGTTATTTTGGAAAAGTTGGTATGAGACATTACCACTTGAAGAAAAACCAGCACTTCTGTCCTACAGTGAATCTGGACAAACTCTGGACACTTGTTAGTGAGCAAACAAGACTCAACTATGCCAAAAATCAGGCGGGATTAGCTCCAGTTATTGATGTCGTACGCTCGGTAAGTTTATTTTGAAAATATAAAAACGTGTGTGAAGCTTGTGTGTGAAGTTGTGTAGTATGGTAAGTCCTAAAATAGTTTCAGAGACAAAAGCTGAACTTCTAACACCCCTTACTTGAAAGTAAGACCCATTGAATTCAGTAGGACTAACATCTGCGCAGACACGGTTAGGAGTGCAGCCTAATTATTATTTACCACCATTCATCCAAGGATCACAGGGTAGTTTACAGTATAAAAGCACAAAATACACAACACAATAAAATACCGCCCCACTAACTTAAAGGGCTATAGCTTGTTTAATTAGCCAAAGGGGAATGTTTTTGCCTGGCACCTAAAGATATGTAATGAAGGTGCTAGGTGAGCCACCATGGAGTGAGGTCTCTCTTAGGCCAAGATGAAACTATTCCAACAAAAATGTCTCAAAACATTGTGCAAGTTTTCAAATTCTCCAGAACTCTTCTTCAGGATAGATGCTAAATAAAGTTTGGGAGAATTTGACTGGTGGTAAAGCTTGACCATGTCTGCATCTGGTGAGAGTCTATAGAGTGCAGGTGTTCAAATGAGGCTTTGTTAGGTGCTATGCAGGTTTTAGGGTGCAGGAAACCATTGCCAATTGCCTATCTCTGAAAATACAAAACCAGCTGTTCCCTAGTTCTGTCTCCCAGATGTAGACATGGATGGCTTTTGCTCCCTTTCTTTCCCTCCCTCAAACTTAGGCGGCTTCTTTACCATCAAGCCTGATGATTAGTTGCGGAGAGCTGAAAAGCTTATGTGCTACTTTGTAACATTTTCATTGGCCTAATAAGGCTATTGTAATAATTAGGATTTCAGTATAGTTATACTGTATATTAAACACTTGATTTTGCTCTTAATATGTATGGCCACCCAGTGTTTGTGTTGAAACTGCATTGTGCACACAGCATTCTTGACATTGGCTTTGTTCCTAAGTGTGCTTTGATCAAGTGTAGAATTCTGGCGATGGAAATAGTACCAAAGGGTTCCTTAATGCTCTTAAAGAATTTTGGGGATTCACAGTGAAAACTGGCAAAAGTTACCTCCCTTCCCCTTCCACTGGTGGGAACAAATCTAGGATCCAAGTATACAAACCGTTCTTGGTATGTCCTCGGGCAAAATGGACAAAATGTGTATGAAATATTTTGCTTTTGATTTGTACGGAAATTGGTTCAGCTGGTAGTGACTAAAAAGGCTTTGTGTACCTTATTTTGGACTTGAGGGTTTCTGCTAAATCTCATTATCTTTCCAGGGTTACTACAAAGTCCTGGGCAAGGGGAAACTGCCCAAACAGCCTGTAATTGTGAAAGCAAAATTCTTCAGCAGAAAGGCAGAAGAGAAAATCAAAGAAGTTGGTGGTGCCTGCGTGTTAGTGGCATAAGTGATTTTTCTATGTACCCAGGCTTCAATAAACACAATTTCAGCTGTGTATTCATAAGCTTAAAATCTGAAGTGTCTCATTTCCAATTTGAATACTCCTAACTTGATTTTTTTTTTTGGGGGGGGGGGAGGAGAGGTCCACAGAGTAAATATTTTTTTTGTTCATTGTAAATATAGGCTTAAGCACATGAACAATGTTTTGTGAAATTCATTGTGTTTGGAGTGTTCTGCATGTGAGAGAGCACCTGCACATGAGCAATTCAGAGACGATACCAGTGTTTTTTGTCCCTACTGGAAATGTATCTTTCTGTGCCAAGTGGTTGTGGTTGCCCAGAATTTTGATTGTATACCATATATCATGCCATAGTCTTAAGGTGACCATGTTCACATTATTCTGTTTAATACATAGGCTTTTTAGGTAGTAAACTATGTGCAGTTCACACCAGCAAATGTGAACAAGAACAAACTAGCTATATATTAACTTTAAGGAAAAACAAAAACATTGTACAAATCTAGGCAGCTATTTAAATTGAAGTGCTTTTTCTTCAGAATTGAACGATTCCCTATGCAGGACATAATTTGTGTTAAAATCCATGAAACATACAGTGGAACCTCTGGTTGTGGACGTAATTTGTGACAGGCAACCCGCAGCGTTCGCATCCTGAAGTGCTGCAGACAGCTTCCGGGTCATGTGGCCAGCATGACTAAGCCACTTCTGGCGAATCCAGAGCAGCGCACAGAAACGCCGTTTACCTTCCTGCCGGAGCAGTACCTATTTATCTACTTGCACTTTTGATGTACTTTCGAACTGCTAGGTGGGCAGAAGCTGAGACCGAACAACAGGAGCTCACTCCGTTGCAGGGCTTCTAACGGCGACCTTCTGATCGACAAGTCCTAGGCTCTGTGGTTTAGACCACAGCGCCACCCCCCCAAAGCAGCTGAACAAAAGCTCAACAACTTTGACCTGAACCCCCCCCCCCCCAAAAGGGGTAGATCACTGCCAGTTTTTAGCTCTCTTGAGTAGATTGCAGTCTCTTGGGAGTTGGCCACCCTGATATAAAATATCTAAGGGAGGTTGCAAAGACATATATAACAATATGCAAGTTTGAATAATATTACAGAATTCATCCTCCACTGGAATGCTTTCCTCAAAATTATATCCTCATGTAACAAACAAAACCCAAACAACTTCAGCTTTTACGCAAACATTTTATTAATACTTGAGACGAAAGTTAACAATAGCTCTCCAAATTTATGGATCCACTCTCCTGCTGAACACTTGAAAAGCAGTTGCTTAGGCACTTTCCCCTTCATAGTAATCCTGAGAAGAAACAAATTTGAAAAAAAGGAAGTATTCCCTCAATATAAACTCAAGCCTAGGCAAAGGTACCCCTGACCGGTTAGGTCCAGTCGCAGACTAGGGTTGCGCACTCATCTCGCTTTACAGGCTGAGGGAGCCGGTGTTTGTCCACAGACAGCTTCTGAATCATGTGGCCAGCCTGACTAAGCCGCTTCTAGCAAACCTGAGCAGCGCACAGAAACGCCATTTACCTTCCTGCCAGAGTGGTATATACTTGCACTTTGTCATGCTTTCAAAATGCTAGGTGGGCGGGAGCTGGGACCGAGCAATGGGAGCTCACCCCATCGTGGGGATTCGAACTGCCGACTTTCTGATCGGCAAGCCCTAGGCTCAGTGGTTTAGACCAGTGTTTCCCAACCTTTTTTGGGCAAAGGCACACTTGTTTGATGAAAAAAATCTCGAGGCACACCACCATTACAACCCCGTGACGTCAGCGCGCAGCGTCGCGCCGGGAGGGACGCGCGTCTTCCCCACTGTCCTCGGACCTCCTCCGAAGCCTGGCGGGGGGGCGGAGGGAAATAAAGGGTAAAAAAATTTATTCCCCCACCGCCAGGCGTGGGGCTGGGGCGGGGGAAGCCCGAGCTTCCCCCTCCCCCAGAACGGGACCCAGAGCCATGCCGAAGCTGCGCGCAGCTTTGGCATCGCTCTGGGAGCTTGCGGGGCTGGGGGAGGAGGAAGCCCTCCGCCAGCCTCCAAACCATGTCGGGAGACAGCGGGATGGCGCCCTGCGCCTCTCCCGCTGTCCCCCGAGTTTGCGGGGCTGGCGACGGGGAGGAGCAGGCTTCTCCCCCCGCCAGCCTTCCAGCCAAGTCGGGGGACAGCGGGATGGCGCGCTGCGCCTCTCCTGCTGTCCCCCGAGTTTGCGGGGCTGGCGACGGGGAGGAGCAGGCTTCTCCCCCCGCCAGCCTTCCAGCCAAGTCGGGGGACAGCGGGATGGCGCGCTGCGCCTCTCCCGCTGTCCCCCGAGTTTGCGGGGCTGGCGACGGGGGGAGCAGGCTTCTCCCCCCGCCAGCCTTCCAGCCAAGTCGGGGGGCAGCGGGATGGCGCGCTGCGTTTCTCCGCTGTCCCGGACGGCCAAGCGAGCGGCGATGGGATGTGGGAGGGAGCTCGCTCGCCGCCCCGCGTGTGCTTGCCGCCGCCGCCCCGCCTCTCGCCGCCTCCCTCCCACGGAACACAAGGCAACGTTCCGCGGCACACTAGTGTGCCGCGGAACACCGGTTGGGAAACACTGGTTTAGACCACAGCGCCACCCGCAACCCCTAAACTCAAGCCTATTCAGTACTATATAAGTGGCATTAGCAACACATCAGGCAGGGAGAACCCTCAGACTGGATGCAGACTGACTGAAACATTGGTGGAATGATATACCCAGATTGAGAGTAGAAAGTTGTGCTGGCCAAATGTAGGGTTGATGGAGAACAACTTGCTTCAGTTAAATGTATTTGCAGTTTTAAGAGTTTTGTAGTGGAAGGCAGCTTCCAAAGAGGTAACAAATCACTACCAGTACACCCAAAGCAACAGTCTGTGACTATAGCCTAGATGTAAACAAGCATTTTTGGTACTTGATAATTTAGACTTCTCAAAAGGATTACAAATAACCGCTACCATTCCTGGCATTATTTTCCACTTTAAAGTTAAGAGCCAGAACTGGACACTTCAGTTGAAGCCAGAAGCCACCACACCCAATGTGACAGGTGGGTGTGGTTTGGTTTAAGCAGGCCAAACTGGAACTGCTGGGCTCCCCAGCCATGAATAGAACACATTTGAAATTTTAGCATGTAGAAACACTATTATTAAACTGGTAGGTAAGGTTGTAGCCTGATCCAAGGTGCTTTGCAGGCGGAGCAGTATCATCATGCAATATATGGTAAAAGAGTAAGAAATGGGTTGCCAAATTCATGTTTGGGTTAAAAGCGGGTCCTGGGCCTGAAAAGGTTGAAGATGCCTGTAATCCAAAGCCTATATTTGCTGCTCACAAACTTACCAAGACTACAAAATCAGTAGGGACTCTTAATCCAGTGTGGTTTGGTGTCTCATCCACTTAGCATGCAGAGTTGATCTAGTGCATAGTTTTCTCCCCTTCAAGCAGTAAGGTCTCGTAACAACTTTTCCAAATAAACTTGATGGCTACAAAGGAAAAAGCAATGCAATGTTGCTGTGTGGCTCTTTTTTACTTACAAATCTCCTCTCTTGAAACTCTTTATAGTCACTTTAATCAGCACTCTTGCCTCCCCCAATTTTCAGAAAATTCGCTGGAATTCAGGGGAATGTCTGTCACTAACCTGGTGACTGACTTTGCTACAGAACAACAAAGTCAGTGAATAAAGATCAGTTTTTCTCTCCGAGTACTATAGCACACCACAATGACTGAAGACATCAAGATGTGACTCTAGTCTCAATTAACTATAGGTACACAAGCTTCTTAATCATTTACTGTTTCAACCCAATACGTTAATTCTGTCTAGAACTGTAAACACATAATATTTTATTTCACAAACCAAGTGTTAATAAATGTTGATATCTACAATACTGACCTTATGCTTTAATAACAAAAGCCATGCTTTTGGTTATCTCACTATTTTTAAGGATGTACTTCCATGGTTGTGCACTCTTCCAACACAGGCTTCTGGGTACAGTATTTCACATTTCCCTAAAATATAAGTAATGAAGATTATAAAATAATCTTGCAGATTTTCTAAATAATGAAATATGCACAAAGAAAGCCACAGAACCTAGAATGCTGGGATTCTACATGTTCGATGTATAAAGTTAAGCTGTTGCTCTCAAAAAATTACTACAGGACACAATAACTGACAATATATAAAAGTGACTAAACAATTATTCTACACAGTTTTCACAGCTACAAGTTGTTTCAGGAAAGGGTTCTCATTAAGGCCCTTCAAGCATTAAGCACATGAAGCTCACAGGCTTCACCCTCTCCTACATGGTCCCATCACTGACCTCACAGCCCTTTGGGAGCTTGTTCTACTTGTTTAGGTTACCCACACAAGTTAGGATCCCTATTGTGCAGGCTTCCCACTCTAGTACTTCAGCCCTCAAGGTATCCAGTGGCAATATGAAGAACGGGGCAGGCCAATGAGCACCTCCTCATCCATGCAGCAATAACCATGTGATGGGGGGGCGAAGAAATCAGAAATCACAGAAATTCCTCATTGAATTTCTCAACCACCTTGCTGTCTGACTGTATATGAGATTAATCGTTTACTCTGTGCCAGTCAGGAACAAGCAGAAAACACACTCTTCAATAACTAGGCAAGGCTTTTTCATTGGATCATTTATTGGTCACAGGCAAACAGAGCTTTCTTCTTTAAGACTATTTTCAGATTAATCATTTCAATTGTAAGCCACTGGCACAAACAAGAAAAGCATATACGAATACAATGAACCTGTACTTGTTTTTTCGACATTAAAAGACTTGTTGGATAGGGCCAGAGATCCATGGGCATCCAGAATTTTGGACTGTAGCCAATGTTAGTCCTACTCACAGTAGACCCATTGAAGTTAATGTACCTAAATCAGTCACATCTATTAATTTCAATGGGTCAACTGTATATCCTTGACTACAGCCTTTTGTTTCCAGCTGGGGCCAAGCAAATGCTTCTGGAAGGCATATACAACAGTCCTTTCCTATCATGTGCAGAAGCATCGGGTATACAAAGTAGACTGCCTCTGAACGTTAAGATTTAATTCATCTGCAACAGTTTTAATAGCAGCTAGTATCTATAAATTTTGCAAAGCTGGCACAAACCTGGACTTGACGCTACAGCCATCAAGCCGCATACGAGTCGGAGCCTATTCGCCGCCTACAGAACACAACCTCAGTTCGCTTCCCTTCTGTTCCTGGTCATAGGCATGGCCGAATCGCCCGATAAATTTACTTATCTTCCTCATCGTGAAAGCCTGGAAAATATTAAAAACAAAACCACTGTACTTTGCACGCTTAAGGGTGGAAAAAGTAGGTTGTTTTACCCAAATACTATTTATTTTTCTTCTTTTAAAAATAATTTTTTAAAAAAATATCAATTAAATAAAAGCCCCCGTGAGACAGTTGCGGAGACCGCCCAAGACTCTCACCAAAAAAAAAATCGCGCGCCTGCTTGAACTTATTCGCTCATTTTAAACCCTGCTCCCCGTTACTCACCACGTGAAAGGAAGAAGGGAAACAGGAAGCGGAAGAAGACCTTCCTCAAGGAACCTCCCACAATGCTCTCGGGGTGCGTGCGGGGGGGAGGGGCACATAGAACGGGAGAGAGAAATGAAGCTCGGCCATTCCTGGAGCGGCAACACAGCCTGCACTTCCGGTGGCCATTGAAAGCCGTCACGCTGTGGTGTACTGTGCCGCTCCAGCCCTGTGGCAGCTCTATGATAAATGCCCGCTTTGCATTGGAGGGGAAGGGTGGGGGCGGGAAACCAATCCAGGGGTATACCGGAAGTTTCCGCTCTCGTCGAAGTGAAATGCAGTTAGCGTCCGGAAGGCGATGACGTCACCTAGCTTTTGGTCTTGCCACTCAAGTGGGAGGAGAATTCAGCAGAGCCCCTGTTGAGGGCGGGAAACTTTCCTCAGCGCAAAAAAAAAAAAAAAAAGCAAGCTCCTAACACGTACCATTGGCTGATATATTTTTTAAAGAAAGGCTTCGCCTGTGGAGGTTTTCCCCTCTCCTCCCTTGAGCGTAGTGGGCGGTACCTGTGTTTTCAGTCAAAACTGCAGTCTTGTGGCACCTCAAACACTTACAATTTATTAGAAGGCAGTTGCTGGTATGCCTTTAAATGCGGCCCTCTTCGCTTGATAACGCCACTGGAGAATGCAAAATTGGAATAAATCCTAGCCAAGTTATTTTGTTGTCCTTTTGTATCCAGCGGGGGCCCTTGGTCCCTGAACTGTATGTTCCTCGGAGTGCAGCCTTGCAGTTCAGGCATGCTCAGAAGTGAGTCCTTTTGATTTCAGGGGTACAGACTCCCTGAGGCTGCACAGCTAAACACATCTGGGACTATGTCTTATTGAACTGAGTGGGCAGAGACTTTCTTATGAGTAGAAACACTTAGCATTGGCCTCGGGCTGTCGATATTTATTCTGTACAGTACCTCATTAATGAAGCCACCTGCTGTGCTGCTCCCCTTCTTTCTCGCTTGATCTTCCAAGAAGCAGCTATATCCTAACTAGCCTTTTCATTTTCCACTTTGGGATGTAGTTTGTTTGATTATTTGATTGTTGTTAGCCGCCCTGAGCCTGGCTTCGGCTGGGGAGGGCGGGATATAAATAAAATTTATTATTATTATTATTATTATTATTATTATTAGTGGGAAATTTAATAGGTGGCCACCCAGCACTGCTTGGAACACTTGCTATTTACTACCAGTGCCAGGTACTCTGGGTGTGTAAGGGATAAGGCAGTCTTAAGGAAGCTGGTCCTGAGCTGTATAGGGCCTTATGTTGTCAGCGATCATTTTCTCTCTAATTGTGTGTTATTCCACGTTCCTCACTGCAGCGGTTTTGTGTTATGCCATGCCAGCCCCATAGCCATTTTGTCCCCAGCACCCTCTCCAAAGTCATTATGTTTCCACTGGCCCAAAAATGTTGTCAACCCCTGGTATAATAATAATAATAATAATAATAATAATAATAATAATAATAATAATTTATTATATATACCCCGCCCATCAGGCTGTGTTTCCCCAGCCACTCTGGGCGGCTTCCAACAAAACACTAAAATACAATAACCTATTAAACATTAAAAGCTTCCCTAAACAGGGCTGCCTTCAGATGTCTTCTAAAAGTTTGGTAGTTATTTTTCTCTGACATCTGGTGGGAGGGCGTTCCACAGGGCGGGTATAGGTCAGATTAAAATAAATGAGAAAGACTGTTGGGGGACGGGTGAGCAAGCTGTGCTCCCCCCACCTTAAGAAACATTCCAGGGCAAGGGGACATATTTGTCTTCCTGACTCCAAAGCCTATGTTCAAACAGTGACAAACCCATATACACACATCTTTAACATCAGAATTATGCAATGGCACGGGGCAAATCTGACACTAGGTGGCCTGACTTGTGCTAAATGGGCCCCAGAGCAAAATTGATATTTTTGTGTGAGCATTTCTTGTCCACAGAAGATCCTGGAAGATCCACTTCCAAGCAGGAGATGAACTAAAATCAGGGGCATGAGGTTACAAATGAATGTTAGAGAATTCACAAGTGCCTTTGGCCACCATAGTAACAAAATCCAGGAAACAGGGCAAATATTTTATTGTGTTCCATATGTCATGGAAGGGTTAGAGGATACACCAGTCAGAAAACTCAACATGAACTTCAATGTCTCTACAATACAGAACAGCAACAGCAAGCTCCTGATTCCTCCAAGCACATTTAAGTAAAGTACCACCTGGGGATTAAACTATATGATGACACTGTCTACACACAATAATAGAAGGACTGAACATTTTCATTTGTTCCTAGAAACTCCTCTGTTTTATTGTAAATAATTCATAGTGTGTCTAATAATTGCAGTTATATTTCCTGAGCAAAATGTAATGGGATTGCTCAACTAAGATCATGCAAAGAAGTCACATGCATCTTAGATAATTACATTGGGAAAAGGAGAATCTGATATTTTGCTGACCCAACAATGGAATATAAGGTTGGTTTTTTATGTCGGAATACTGACCAATTACATAATTTTAGTGATACACAGCAAGTTTTATCCTATGAAAATATGCTGCATAACCAGGTCTTGGGTGGATGTTTCTTATACAGTATTGTGTAGAGTTTTTCTTGCTTTTCTCTTGGTAGTATTTGAATAACAGAGCTTTCTGGAAATACTGTATATGATCATTTTAGGATCCCAGGCCTTAAATGAACTTTTCACCACTGCACCAGCATTCTGCAGGTAAACCCTTTAATTAGTGAAATGTTTAGCATTTAATGCTGGGTGCTTAGACAGTCACAATTTTGTGGGTATGGTTCAGTGGCATACTGGCAAATTCTGTTTGTGCAATTGACATTAATTTGGCATTCTTGCACACACTGGAAAGTGTGGTATAACATCTGCTTGATATAATGTCATATAGCCTCTCCTCAAATTTTGTGCAAACAAATCAGGTACATGCTCAACAAACAGTCTGCAAGCAACTTTAGTGTGCTACTGACCTCTGTAGTGATGGTTCAGACACTAGTGACTTGTCCAGCATCCTAATGACAAAGAATGAGAAATCTTTCTTACACAATCTCAAGCTTGGGTCACAGTTTAATGACATTGTTTCTCAAATTATTCAATATTTTCAAATCCACCATTATTGTCTGTGTTCATTTTACAACTGTTCTGCTATTTGACAATTTATTGGGCTCAATATATAATGTTCTGCTAGAGATGCAAGAAGGAAGCAAAGCTGGGTACCTTAAGCAAACATATAACCTTAGGGCAACATCATGCTTACAAAGCTGTAAGCCCCTGCTCTGTTCGCTGGTGCTTACTCTTTAGTAAGTATGCTGTGGATTGCAGCCTTAATATAAAAAGCTCAGAGTTTACTGCTGGGAGAGCCTCCCTGAACTGAAATGAGTAATAGTCACGCCAATGAATCACTCTCTGGCTCATCTATCAGTGTTGTCCATCTTTTCCTTCATGCTTCACATAAGCAGTCTACCTTTTTTATTTTGAAAAGCCAGCTTCAGCTGCAAATTTGCAAAAACAGCTTGAGCCTGGAGAGGAAAGGTGTGCTTTGGTTGAACATATGGAGGACACCATCATTCAGACAGCTCCAGCCTATTGAGTAAGAGAGTGCTGTTTACATTCTTTCTTTAAGGTGGGGGTTGTGGGACACACACACACACACACACACACACACACACACACACACTATAGTCATGAGTGTTTGAGGACTCACATACCCATCTCTTTGCTTAGGGGAAACAGATGGAAAAGATGCAGGAGTTATGCTGTGATGACTTGGAGGCATGGTCTGCCCTTCCCTGGTGAGTTGCCTTTCCTTGCTTACTTACCTTATCCTTGCACCTCAGCAGTGGAGCTGAGGTTCTTAATGGGTGTTTGCATCTAGAGTCCCATGTTCCTGTGAGTTATTGTGGAAAAAAAATGTTAACAACATTCCTCTCCTTCACACCAAGTATTCCTTTTCATTAACATTTGAAGGTCTTAGTTGTCTACCATAAGATAGAGCCCCATGTCATGCGCCTCGATGCTGTGTAATGTTTCTGGAGATGATATACCCCTGTGTTTTGTTTTTGAGTTATTTTAGACTCCTGTCATATGATATGGTGTGACAGCATGGTAGAGTGGTGATCGTGGTCATAGCACAGGGCAATCACCTTAGGCTCTCCACTGATCCCTTAGTTTTATTTAACTTGTGCCATCTTTTAATTTGATATGTTACACTGCTGTTGCAACTGACTTCTGTGCATTAGATGTCAACTCTGCCCATTTAGCCACTTGTGTTAGTGAGTACTGTGGTAATAATGCCAGTGTTGCATAATGCTGGTGCAGCAGGGGCCTCTTCTGTGTCTTTGTTTAGGGCTCTGGAATTCTCTTTGGCAAAAATGTGTCTCACTGTTTCTTTAATGGCCTTCCAGAAGCTAGAATAAACTTTTCTATGTAAGAAGGATTTTTGTTTACAGATGATGGGTTTATTGTATTGGTTTTACTACTCTCTCTACCTGTTTGTAATCTGAAAACTGCTCCATTATTGTTTTTCCATTGCTGTTTATAGTATTTTAATGGTTTTGTAACTTATGTTTTAAATTGTTAGCTAATGGTTTGATATTGCTGTTAGTCACCTTGAGCCCTTTTATGAGGCCAAGCAGGGTAAAAGTGTTGCAAGCAAACTAACCCAGTACTCTGATTCAAAGTTTTGTTCTGCCAGCATAAGGAACTAGTAGTGATCCTATCCCCATCAAGTGGTTGTAATTCAAAGGCAGAATCACACTGTGGGTGCTTCCAGACAGTCACAATTTTCAGGTGGATTTCAATCATATGCTGGCAAATTCAGGTTGTGCAATTAAAGTTGATTTAGAGCTATTTCACGACAAGCCCATTTCCTTTCAAAATTGGACATTTTGCAATAAGGAAAGTGATGAGAAAATGCATTGGAAAGTTTGAGATAACATTTGCTTGCCGGAGCATTGTCTAACTTCCCCAGAAACAAATTGGGATGAATGCTCAGTAATTAGCCAATGTCAGCTCACCTCCTTGAAAACTTTATGCAAAGAAATCAGGATGAAATCTCAGTAAACAGGTTGCCTGGATGCAAGCAGGAACTCTGCCTTGGGTTGTTCCCATGTTGTATTGTATGTGTGCCTGGGATTGCTTTTGCCCATAGCAACTTGATGGTGCACTAAATCCCAAGGGTGCTTTTTCAATTAGAGAGCAGTTTGGGTGGTTCAGTGCTGTGAGCTGCTGCGGCTCAAACTAAGGGGAAATCTCCAAGTGTGAGTATGGATATGTTGCACACATTTTACTTAGCTTTTCTGGGGTGTGGCAGTGGTGGGGTAGGGAATGGCAGCAATATTTTTTTAGCGTGCCTCAGTCAATTCAGAAAATGCCTGACTGTGTTTGCCAACAGATTCTGCAGTCTGTAGAACAGGGGGCAGGAACGGTAATTAATTATGTGTCTCAAATCTTTTGTTATAAATCAGGAATTATTATGTGCTTAAAAAACAGAAGAGAAATGACAGGGCAAAGAATCAATCAACAGCAATATTCTCATAGGCCCACACAAGGCACCAGGTGCAAATCTCTAATTAATATGTCAGGAATCTGAAGAGGAAGGAAAACAAATCTGAATCTCAGTAAAATGATGTTACTGTGTGTATTGAACACCATTGAGAGGCAGTGAAAGACAGGAGATATCCTGATCTGAGCCCAGCAAAAATTAGTCTTTTATGTGTTGGATATTGTACTTGATAAATTTGACTCTACAGCTGTGACAAGGCTAGGCATGATCACAGACTGAATTATGTGGCTATCTATTCCATGATAAAATAATCGGTGATGAATTTGGGGCTGACCCATCTATACGATGAAAGGGACATTTTTCTTCACCATTGGGCATTCAGAAATTACTGAATAATCAGCTGCTGAAATGGGGTGGGGAGCAGTGGTTTTCCGAGGGAGGGAGAGAGGGTAAGGAAAGAGCTCATGGCCCCATTGGGGCAGGGTTAGCAGCATGTTATATGAAAAGAGATGGACATCTTTGGAATAGACAGCTGAGCAAGAATACAGATCCCAGGTGGTAGAGTCATCTGAAGTTTTCTGATAGGAGGCGTAACTCCCTGTGTTTTGTGAATGTAAGTCCTACACTGATTACCATGAACATCCGGTTTTCTTCTGTGCCCTCTCTTGTATCACCCACACGTGGGGAAAATATTTTGAGAAAACCTCAAAGGTGTTATTTACTGTCTTGACTGAAACATTCACATCCATAACTTCTGTCCAGGACACCTATATGTCTCGGAGTAGCCTTGAGTGAACTAATCATATAGCTGTAGATGTGGGAACAATTTATTATTTATTCTTGTTCATAACAGAATAGTAATCTGGCAAATGTATTTATCCATTTCAAACTTGTTTGGAGGATCACTGGATATTGTTTGAAGCTGCTTGGAAGGGACTTGCATGGCCATGCCAGTAAGAAGGCTATGGATAAAAATGAGAAAGCCAAGGTAGGCTGAACTCTGTGGGCAACTATATGGGCATCATCCTAAAATTTATGTGGGAGTTTAAAGCTGCATATAAACTACTAAGCCCAGTTTCCTGGAGATAAGGTTCATGCGACACAGTAGGAGTATACTGTATAGGATTGGGCTGTTAATGACATTGGCATGGGAGGGAGCTAGCTGTGAAGGACAGGTGCCTTTAGAAAGCACACGTGATGCATACGGCCTAAAAGTATCCTGGCCCTGCTATTGTCCATGCTTGCTGAGTGCAGGGGCAGGGAACTGCTGACATTTGAACTCAGCATGTTATGTGGCTTTAAAGAGATCAGTTGTGCCGAATGTGCATGTCTGAGCCCGGGGAGTGGAGGGAGACCTTTTGTATCCAGCGTGTGTGTGTGTGTGTGTGTGTGTGTGTGTGTGCATACGTCAGTACTTTTCCTTATTATGTACAACCTGGTTAGCAGCATCCCTGAACAAACCCTTTTCCTGAGAAACAAATATATTCTTATTGGTTATTAAAGGTAAAGGACCCTTGGACGGTTAAGTTCCGTCAAAGGTGACTATGGGGTGCAGTGCTCATCTCGCTTCAGGCCAAGGGAGCCAGCATTTGTCCACAGACAGATTTCTGGGTCATGTGGCCAGCATGACTAAACAGCTTCTGGCGCAATGGGACACTGTGACAGAAGCCAGAGTGCACAGAAATGCCCTTCACCTTTCCACCACAGTGGTACCTATTTATCTACAGTCATACCTCGGGTTGAATGTGCTTCAGGTTGAGCGCTTTCGGGTTGCGCTCCGCGGCAACCCGGAAGTAACGGAGCGTGTTACTTCTGGGTTTGGCCGCTTGTGTATGCGCAGATGCCCAAAATGACGTCATGTGCATGCGCAGAAGCGGCAAAATGCAACCCGCGCACGCACCGACGTGCCATCACGGGGCTCCGGAACAGATCCCGTTCGCATCCTGAGGTACCACTGTACTTGCACTGGTGTGCTTTTGAACTGCTAGGTTAGCAGAAGCTGGGACAGAGCAATAGGAGCTCAGCCCATCGTGTGTATTAGAGCAATCTCTGAGGGAGATGCTTTGCCCTTTCTGAAGCAGATGAAATTCACTAGATATACAATATTTGATCCTTGAATGGGGAACCCAGCTCCTTTCTGGGTGCTAGAAAAATAGAAGTGCTTACTTATCTGGCATGAGCTGCATCTGCCATTCCCTGCTGCCGTATCTGCTTTTGAGATGTTGCATTTTACCCTGGAGAACTGCTCAGCTGTCTCTGAACCTTCCAGATGATGTCATTCCATGCCCTCCTTTTCCAAGGGAATTGCTGTTAAATTCAAATAGCTAACCAGAACTGCTAGTGAACTGCGGGGTTTTTTTTTGTTGGTTTGTTTGTTTGCTTATCATGTAGTAAGTGCAACACTTGTGGGAATCTGAGCGCTGAACTGAAAGTTTTCAGGAAAGAGGTTTTGGCTCAAAATTGGGAGCAGCTTGTCTCCCCAAGACTAAGGGAGAGATTTTAGAGAGTGAAAACTGAAAAAGTTTAGTGGGCGTGAGAGGGCTTACTATTGGCAGTGAGTGCATGGTTGTTCTCTCAACTGTTTTAAAAGCTCCATTTGTTCCCTTTCTTTTTTTGAGGCATTATAAGTGAGAAAGAGCATCCATCATATTTTGAAACCCACATTGCCCTGGGATGACATTATGTCTATCAATGGTAAGGCACATTCATTCCACAACCCTTGTGCAGTTTATTCCCCGCTCCTGAAAAATAGGCGACCACCTTCCAGTCCACATGTGAATGAGACAGTGAATTTGAAGGCAGGCATTTTCCGTCAGTTTTTTTTTAATGGATTCCAGAATGTGAAGCTCACCAAACCATAGCCATCATGACCGCTAGATGTCCAGTGAATAGAAACATTAAAGGTGATGGAGAATTTCACCATTTTATTTTTTAAAAAGCCAGAATTATAATTACACCTGCTATTTTTGCTAGCTTCACATTACAGGCACTAGATTATAGGGATTGCACGTAAAATTGCTTTGTTGAAACCTCTCCAAAGGCAAGTGATGCAATGTGTTACATGCAATGCTGTCTGAAAATGAATACCCCTTAGTTTTAATTAGACATTCACTCTGAGGTATGGATGATAGCATAACTTTATTAATCTCACCAATAAGAGCTCACGTTGGAGAGTAAATAAAATGTTGCAAGCAGTTTGCATAAGTGTTCAAGGTGGTTGAGTTGGAGTTGCTTCAGACTCGTTTTGGTCAGTGTCTGCTGCTGCTGCCCACTCAAAAGGCGAGCAGA